TGGGTTATTGCTGTACGCAGCGCTGCGCTTAGTAACACTCCTTTAATATGTGTTTAACGAAGGTAAGAGGAAAAAGAAAATGCCATCGAAACTTTTCTGAAGAGTCAGTTCTCCTCAGAAATACATCCATATTAACCCCCACCCTAATTCCATAATTATGGTTTTCTTTCAGTATTTCAAGCATCGCAAACAATGAATTTGTTCTGTCTGGTACAGTGTTTTCTCTGCTTGCGCGACAATTCTCTCCTCTTTGTGTCCGTCTTCAGTGCATCTGTCTTACAGATCATATATCATGATGATCACTACGTTTCCGTTACCAAATTGCATCCTGTCAGCCAGGAATAATCTGCCCGCGCTGTTTTTAACATGTTCGTTTTTAATTACTGTCAGTTTAAATGCCGGCATTGCCAGATATTGAAAAACAAACATAACAATCTAAAAATAAATAAACCGCAATGAGTCCAAATCTTGAGTTATGGAAATAATATAAAGGTATCGCCAGGGTTGGGGAGTAACGGAATACATGTAACGGCGTTACGTAAACAGTATACAAAAATCTAGTAACTGTAATCTGTTACAGTTACATCAAAAAACAAAGTATTCAGATTACAGTTACATTTTGTAAAAAGTGGGAATACTATCAGGATTTCATTTGTTTCATTTAAAATTAAATAAATGAGTTTTTTGACATAATAACTATATTAACTGTTGACACATGTTGACTCACGTGAGCCACCTCCTGGTGCGTGCGCAAATAACACCAGTCTACAATTACTCTCCTCAAACGCGGGATAAGACGCTGCTACAGTACATTAATTATGATGCTTCATGCTGTGAAAAACGTTTTCATGTCTGGAAATAAAGGAAATAACATAGTTGTACAGCGTAAGCTACGCATGAAGAATCTTGCTTTAACAAAGGCTACTCAACCAACTTAAACATTTGCAGGTACGAGTCCGACTAGCATGGAAATCATTATGTTAGCTAAAATGTAGTGTTTGTTAGTGTTTTAAAATTCCATGGCTGTGCATGACTGCAGTTGTGTGTAAGTTTTCTAACAGAAAATGAGAAATTAGAGTCCCCACACCCCAGATCAGTCAATGAAATATAGAAAAATCATAGCATTTCACATGCATTTCGACATGTAGGCTTATTTTAAAATAGACTAATATGTATATGGTGTAAATTTTTTAATGTTGTGTATAAACTATATTTATTTTTACTTGTACATGTTAAAGAAATAAAAAAAATTATAAAAATAAAACTGTAATATTAAACTGTAGCCAGTCTGCATAGATATTGATATTAGATATTGCTTTTTTGACTTATTTACATATGTAACGTGAAGTAATCCAAAAGTAATCAGAATCTTTTATATTGTGGTACTTGGATTACGTTACTGAATACTTTTTTAATGAAGTAATTTGTAACTGTAACGGAATACATTTTAAAAGTAACCCTCCCAACCCTGGATATCGCTGTCCCTAACTTGCAACCTCCCACTTTATTCACTTCCTAAATTAAGTGGGAAAAAAGAAAATAAATAAATCCATAGACGCTTATAATATGTGTATCTGGCAACATGACTGAGGCTTAGCCCGCGTTCTCAATCACAACTCGCTCAAGGGACGGGGGCACCATGCAATCTTTTCACGATGATAATATATATATATATTTTTTTTTTTGTATTTTTTTTTTAAAGAGGTCATATGATGTGATTTCAAGTCTTTCTTTCTCTTTGGAGTGTTACAAGCAGTTGATAAATAGATAAGATCCCTAAAGTTGCAAAGACTAAAGTCTCAAACCCAAAGAGATATTCTTTATAAAAGTTAAGACTCGTCCACACCCTCCTAAAACGGCTCTAACACGCACGCCCCCACAGTTAAGACTCGTCCACACCCTCCTAAAACGGCTCGTTCTAACACGCCCCCACATGTCTACGTCATGATGTGGGAAGATTTGCATAACGCCGCCCAAATGTTCATGCAAAGAAAGAAGGCCTAACTTGATTCTCGCTGTAGTATTGATGCTGCCGCCGCCATGTCGTGGAGACGCTGTGTGCTTCATAACATTTCCGTCACACGCTTGAGGTATTCGGCCAATCACAACGCACTGGATAGCTGGCCAATCAGAGCACTCCTCGCTTTTCAGACCGATGAGCTTTGTAAAAATCGATGCGTTTCAGAAAGGCGGGGCATAGAGGAGAAACAATAATGTACAGTATGTGGAAAATAATGTGTTTTTGAACCTTAAACCGCATAAACACATTTCATTACAACACATACACAAAATAATGTTCTTTTTTAGCAACGTCATATGACCCCTTTAAACCCAGATAGCTTGCTGAAATACTTCTGTGGCCGCCTCATCTACCTCAGCCATGCTGATCAGGACCTGTCCCGGTGACCCTGATCGCGCCTGACCTGCCTTCCGTTTCCACTATACTCTCTCTCACACATACATACATTCTTCTCTTACATACACATATTTTCTTCAGACATACATACATTCTATATATATGTATGTGAAAGGAGAATGTATGTGTGTGAGAGTAGAAATGTATGCATGTGTAAGGAGAATGTAAGTGTGTGAGAGTGCCAGAATGAATTATGGCTTGTACGGCCCCTCATATATATATATATACTTTTTTTTAAGATTAAATACTGTTTGACATGGCTTTGTTCTTCTGTGATAGTTAGGTCGTTCCTTCACGTTAATCATTTACATTTACATTTAGTCATTTAGCAGACGCTCTTATCCAAAGCGACTTACAAATGAGGACAATAGAAGCAATCAAAACTAACAAAAGAGCAACAATATGTAAGTGCAAATGACAAGTCTCGGTTAGCCTAACGCAGTACACGTAGCAAGGTATTTTTGTATTTATATATAAATATATATATATATATATATTTATATATATATATATATATATATTTTGCAGTGCAAAATATAATTAAAAATGATAAACAGCTTACATACACCTAAGCTTTACATGATGTTGCAGTAATTATAGCTGATTATAGCATAATTCAGTCAGACCAGAGAGACTGTATCAC